TCATTATTCTTGAAGTACAGACGTATCACCTCCTTGGATAGGTTCCTTCCGCACCATTCCTTCGTTCGAAATCGCGTCTCAATCATGGTCTGTTCCTCTGACGTTAAGCTTTCACCAGAGCCGATTTTTGTCAGGACGGCCGAGAAATGGGAATCCTTTTGTCGCATCACTTGAGACAGTGGAAAATAATCTAAAGACTGCCACAAAATGGCATTCCCTCCAACAGAATTTTGGGTCGCGCTATAAACCGGACACGCATTTACTGGTGGTTACTGTTTCAAGTCGCCACATGCTATCAGATCTAGTCCGCCGAACAGGGCCCCGTGTTCGCCCGTCATCTGCTGCAGTCGTGTGTTCACCGAATTGAAGAGATTAGAAGCGCACATGCTGATTTCATCTATAATCACGCATTTCACGTTTTCACGCATCCTGCTAATCCTGTCAGGGAGATTTGAATGGGTAGCCGGTCTACAATGTGCAAGCGATGAATCACCTCTAGGATTAATTCGCGCTGTTCCATGTTCAATTGACGCAGTGTTTTACAGTAGCCGTTTGACGGCACTGACTGGGAGTGAGTTCGCTGATTCGAGCAAATCTTCGTCGTTGGGCAAACGATCGGTACCAATGCAGAATTTTTCTTCTTGGGATGCGATGGACTCGTTTGTTTCTTCGCTGAGAACACACAATTCCGCGATTTCGCGCATGACGGCATCAATATCAAGATTGGACTCGAATTCTCGCCGTCTTTCTAAGATTACTTCTTCATTCCCGTTATATATTTCAAGGAACTTTTCTCGATCATTAATCTCAGCGTGTTCGTTCCGGAATGGAACGTACAATAGAACCATTTCACGTTTATGATTTTTCATATCAGCCCTATCATAATTACGATAACGAATTATTTTCTTGATCCCGCGTCGTCTGTATGTGCTCCCTACGGTCTCTTCCATCTCTTCAGCTTCGAAGTCCTCTTCGAGTACGATGGATTTTGTCCAGATATCTGTACTCTCACTCGATAAATTTTGAGCATCCATGACCGTCTTCCGTTTGCGTGCCTTGTGCCTCTCATGCGGCAGCATAGTTGGAATCATCACAGTCTTGCGAGATGCCCAACTCATAGACTGCCGCAACAAATACCACGCCGTTTCTTGAGCTGACATCTCAACACTGTTCAGAATTTTAAGACCCACTTTAGTTATGAGTTGAGTCTGATCAAATTCAGGATTTGCTTCGTGTATCTTGAGGAGCTCTTGATGCAGATTGCTTATTCCTCTATTAGATTCATTGACATAATCAACGACATAATTCGCGCAAGAATAAGGATCTAATATAATCTGCAGGTCCATGTTTGAGTTCAGGACTGAGGCAATCCGGGGATTGAAAGTGTTGACGAACGTTTGACGCATGTCTCTTTTAAACATAATTGATGGACGCTTCAATGTTGATCGAATCAAATCTAGATATTCGACACAATCACAACCGATGTCCGATAAGAATTATTCAATGGTGTCGTACGCTTTCGTTTGTAGTTTGTCTCGAGCGTCGTTCGCCCGATTCTTCAGTAATTGACGATGACCGTCCTCCTCGTTCAGTGGTTGAAGGGTCATGAAGGATTAGACTTCGTCGTTTATTGGACTGAGCATACTCATTTATATAGACAGCCCATAACTACGTGTAACTCGGCGATAGGCGAGGAGTGAAACCTCTACAAATGCCCCCCGAGATAAATGAGTCCAGGAATCGTCACACGGTGTCTTTCCGAGACGGCGTCTTCTTGCACTGCCGTGCGGGTTGCATCCGCGTTGGCGTAGGTGCTGCGATGGGAACGAGGACTCCCGACTCCGTAGAAGACGAGGACGGTGACTGCTCCGCCTCCTCAGCTGACTCATAATCCGGCTCACTTGAATCCGGCGTTCCAGGAGATGAAGGCGGCGAGGAGGGCGAGGGTGATGAAGAGATCGTCGGCGATGACCGCAGAGGGGTGGAGGACGACGGCAATAACCGGGGACTCGCAATCGCGATGTCTGCCAGCACGTCCTCGACATCAGGATCAATGGCCCGGGACGCTTGGGCTCCCACACTCGGAGACCACTTCCACACCTGATTATAATGACGGACTAGGACCTTACCCGCGACTTCGACCTCCAGCATACAGGCGCCGAGCAACTTCACGACACGGCCCTGTACGCGTTTACCGCTCGGAAGCTGTATCGTTACCTCTTCCCCTACGACGAAAACCCGGCGGCGTACACCATGATGCTGGTCGAATTGATTCTTGAACTGCTCTTGAGCTGGCGACATGTCCGCACTGGCATGTTTCGGTTTAAAGACATCGAAAGGCGTTTTGCGAGAACGACCGAAGAAAACTTCACCCGGTGACTTTTCATCTTCCAAAGCAACGTTGGGAGTGTAGTTGTACGCGTACACAACGGCCTCCAGTGAGTCAGAAGATGAATCGAGCGCGGATTTGATTGTTCTTACCATGCGTTCGGCACAACCATTGCTCTGCGGCATGTATGGCGCGCAACGCAAGTGCACAATGTTGAGCTCCTCACAAAACTTGGCAAAATCCGCTGCGGTGAATTGTCGTCCATTATCTGAGACGATGGTCTCTGGTTGACCTAGTACTCGGAACAGACTCCGCAGATAACTGATCACGGACTGAGCGGTTATCGAAGGCAACCACTGGGCATCCATGAATTTAGAGAAACTGTCCACGACAACAATGAACGATTTGCCTTTCTTAGGCTCACCCAAATCGACGTGCACCCTTGACCAGACCTTACCGGTGTTCGGCCACGGTGATAGCGGTACTTTCACTGGTTTCGACGCTGTCTGAACACAGTGCTCGCAAGCTCGAACCAACCTCTCGACGTCTGCGTTCATGGCCGGCCAGAAGAAGTGCCGTCGTGCCAACCCTTTCATACGCCGTATACCTGGATGACCTCTGTGTAGTTGTTCCAGAACAAGACTCTGAACTTTTTTGGAACGACTGTCCGATCGCTGAGCAGGAGTATTCCATTCAGCATGCACAAGGAATCAGCGGCATTATAGAATGGGCGGAGCAGTGGATCTTTCTTGTCACTTTCATTCCAACCATCCATGAGTCGCAACAAGACTTTTGACAGGACGGGATCTTTCGCGGTCTGCTCGACCAAGAACCGCCGTGCTTGTGCGGATGGCATGCTCTCTACCGTCAGTTCTTGAAGTTCGCTGTCCACACAGTGGTGGATCGAAGCGACTACCTCATCGAGATCCGAGTCCTGGCTGCTGAGCCTTGCTTCCGAGATGAGCCGTGACAACGCATCCGCCTGCCCGAAGTCGTCAGTACGGACATACTCTATGTCGAAATTGAAACCAAGCAACCGCAGTGCCCATCGACGGAGTCGGGCAGCAGTTCGCTCCTGCAGGCCTTTCGTATTAGAGGTCCGGAAAAGCGCGAGTAGAGGCCGATGATCCGTTTGCAGTATGAAATGTCTTCCCCAGATGAATTTGCGGAATCGTTCTACAGCCGTCACCAAAGCGAGCGCCTCTTTCTCGATCTGGGAGTAGTTGCGTTGTGCTTTCGTGAGCGACTTGGACATGTGGAAGACAGCCTTTTCATTACCATCGGCGTATCGTTGTAACAAAACTCCCCCGATACCCGATGGACTTGCATCTGCGGCGACGAGTAGAGTTTGCCTCGGATCATAGTGCGTGAGCAGCAGGGGACCGGTAAGGATCTCTTTGATTTTCGCCAAGGCCTTCTCATGTTCAGGTGTCCACACGAATCGCACATCTTTCTTAAGAAGAGCCTCCAACAAGGGTTTGTGACGATGCATGTTATCAACGAATTTCCCGTAATAATTGACCATTCCAAGAAGTGATCTGACTTCTTTCTGGTTTCTGGGCGGACGAAGTTCCTTGATAACAGAAATTCGGGACGGGTCGGCCTCGATCCCCCTTGATGAAACCACCATTCCCAAATATTTGACTTTCGGAACGTGGAAATAGCACTTCTCTAGCTTCAAATGGAACCCGGAGTCTTGCAACCGTTGGAGAACCCGGTTCAGGCGTTGATCATGCCGCTCGGTATCCGGGGCCATCACCAGGATGTCATCTAGGTAGACCAAGACGCCCTCCATTCCCATTAGCACCTGCTCGATCGTCTTTTGGAAGATAGACGGCGCGGTCTTCAGTCCAAAAACAAGTCGGGTGTATTGGAACAGGCCCCTGTGCGTGGTGATTGTCGTCACCCGCTGACTGTTCTCATCCAGGGGTAGTTGGAGGTAGGCGTCGGCCAAGTCCAACTGGGAAAAGACTCTGTTCCCCGAGAACTTGGTCATGATTTCCTCCATATTTGGTAATGGATGCTCGATATCAACGAGAGCTTCATTGAGCCCGGTAGAATAATCGGCACAAACACGTATGGAGCCGTTCGCTTTCTTGACGACCACGATCGGGGTGGCCCACTCGGAGAAATCCACTTTGGTCAGAGTTCCATTCTGTATGAGCCTGTCCAACTCCTTATCGATTTGTTCTTGGAGCGCTATGGCGACCGGACGAGGCCTCAGATGAACCGGAGTGGCGTTTCTCGTAAGCGAAGCTGCACGGTCACTTTGTTGCAGAGCCCAAGCCCTGCCTCGAAGAGCTTCGGATAATTTGACTGTACGGAAGCCGAGTTGACGAGGCCCACTTCAGGTTGTGGATTCTCGACTTTCCAGACTACCAAGCCGAGCTGTATCAGCAGGCGACCGCAGAGCAGGCTCGATTTGCCCCTCGCGAGAACGAGTAGAGGTTCTTGAACGGTCTTCCCGTTGTGAGTGAATTTCGCCATGAAATAGCCCATCAGCTTGATATCATCACCATCAACATGCGTGCATTGGTTCCCGTACTCTGTGAGCGCCGGGCTCCCGAGAGACTTCCAGGTCTGTATCCCAATCGTAGAGATGTCCGCCCCAGAATCTGCGCGGAATTCGATGGGTGACCCGTTGACGTCGACCGTGACGAAGGTTCGACCCTCAGAAAGCTGCGAAGTTTCGAGCACCCTGTTGATGTAGACAGCGTTCGACCCAGTTGCACGACAAGCTTTGGTCGATATGACCAAGTTTTCGGCAGACGTTGCATTTCGCCTTGCGAAATTTGCAGTCTCGACGAATGTGGTCCCCACCACAGCCAGCACAAGATGCTTGCTCCTTGACTGACTGACGACCGGCGGCTTGGGGGTTCTTTGCTGTCTTCTTTGCTGGCTTCCTCAGTGTGGTGGCGAATACGGTTGGAGTAGTTGGGTCCTCCTTCGTCACACCGTAGTTGAGTTTAGCGTCGCTTGTACGCGTCTCGTACCTCTTCATGACCAAGCGAACCTCATCAGCAGTTACCGATGGTTTGTCGTCGACGGCTTTTATGATCACGTTGCGTAGGCCTTGATAGCTGGGATCGGAAACAGACAGAAGCATGATGAAAATTCGGAGAGAGTCCAAGGAGAATGAGCTCAACTCGAAATCATCAGCTCTCAAGACAGCGTTACTGGCGATCTGTTCCGCGGTCTTCCGGAGGTAGGCGATCTTGGAGCAACGTTCGAACCGCCGGCGGAACAAAGACTTTGAAACGGCAAACATGTCTTTCAAAATGACGACCAGGGCAACGTATTCCAGGCTCTCGGGCTCATTTGGTGAGGTTCTACCACGAAGTTGTGTGTATTCACTTTTCCCGAGAGTGCGCAAGAGGAGCTGACGTCGTTCCGCATCTGACTCACAGAGAGTTCGGAAACTGTGCTCATTCTTGGAGAACCACCGCTGGAAGGTCAACCCGCTCTCTGGGTCGTATTCGAAAGTGCCGATTAAGGTTAGAGCGTTCGTAAGGGCCACGGCTCTATTTGTTTCCTGACTTGTATCTCTCTTTTCGCTGGCCAACATGCGGAGCGCCTCCACAATCTTTTCCATCAGAGAATCTTCGGAAGACGTTGTTGGAGCCATGGCACAGGGATGTCGACTGCGCCAATTGAAGGGTCATGAAGGATTAGACTCGTCGTTTATTGGACTGAGCATACTCATTTATATAGACAGCCCATAACTACG